TCGAGAATCCATCGGCGCAGTCGGACGTAGCAAAGTTTAACCGTGTGTACAGTTTGCCGTTCTTACGTTTGAATTCCAGCGTCGTCCTGTCGAACGCAGCACGATCCGAATCCGCGCTGCTGGCCGCCGATGCCGGGGCGGTCTCCGTCCCAGCCATGATGTCGCCTAATCCTTGCTCATCCATGATGGAGTAGAACAGGCCACTCCAGCCGTGGAAATCTTCCGGCTTTAGCGAAGAGGCACCTATCGAGTCACACCCCAGCAGCAGCATGGCGTCCGNAGATCCAAAACACAGGCGCCCAAGCTGTCTTCACCTGACGGTTACAGACTTGGAGACACGCCTTCACAATACTGCACAAAACCCATGCAGTAGAATAGAGTCAGTTCTTGCATACAAATCCCAACATTTTCTACATTATTTTACTTGGCAAATTGCGTCTTCACCATACAGGCAGATAGACGGTCACTCATCACCTGACAGATATACTGTCATCAGTCAACGGTGCCACCACCGTGGTTGACGCTTCGGGTAAAAAAAAGAGAAAAATTATGTTGGCTCATGAAAAGAGAAAATGGCACGGGCAACCANAACCCATGCAGTAGAATAGAGTCAGTTCTTGCATACAAATCCCAACATTTTCTACATTATTTTACTTGGCAAATTGCGTCTTCACCATACAGGCAGATAGACGGTCACTCATCACCTGACAGATATACTGTCATCAGTCAACGGTGCCACCACCGTGGTTGACGCTTCGGGTAAAAAAAAGAGAAAAATTATGTTGGCTCATGAAAAGAGAAAATGGCACGGGCAACCACAGCAGCTGTATCATCAACACATGCCACCAGCTACCGGTGGTGCTACGTGGAGCAGGTAGACCAGGCCGCACCCCTCGCAGGCAGGAGCAACGGGTGGCGGTACATGGGGCCTGGAGGGGTCACCTATATATAGGCACCAGGCCGTCTTCCGCACGGGGTTTAGGGTTCGTATCTCCCTCCCTTCCTCACCACGGCCGGGAGACATGTGGTTCAACTCGCACCCCCTTAGAGGAGATCCCAACCTGTACAATTTTCACACTTGGGCGGGGACGGTGCTGCAGAGAGGTATGGTCCACCCGCGTGACGCCGAGGCTTGGCGCACAGCGTTTGTAGATGTAGAGGGTGGTGGCCTTCGACAACTGGTCGTGTCAGCGGCCGACGATACCTGGCTAGTAATCCTCTGCTGGGCGTCAGCTGGCAGGAGGATCGACGTCGACACCCAGGGCATCCCGATCTCACTTGTGAACCTCCAGGTCCGATCTGGTGTCGACTCACAGAGCCCCTTATTCAGACAGCTCAACATAGCGACCTTCGGGCACAGAGTTGTGAGATATGCCCCCATAACCGCGTTCGGTAAATAATGGCAAGAACAGCTTNTAACATAGCGACCTTCGGGCACAGAGTTGTGAGATATGCCCCCATCACCGCATTCGGCAAAAAATGGCAGAAACAGCTTCCCGGAGCCTGTCTCGCTGTCCTCGTCGCCGACGTTTGGCGCGATAGTCAAGTCTACCTGCTAAAAAAACCGAAGGAGAGGAGAAGGTTTGGATTCCGCGATGTAGATCCCACGGGTGCGTTCATGATCTCATCTCGTGGTGGTCGACCAAAAAAGGGCGCGCCTGTGAAAAACAAGAACGACCGTTCAACGCTCTTGACGGTGGGAACTACTTCCGCAACCTCTATTCGATTCTACTGGAGCGCGACACNAGCACGGGAGAGGAGAAGGTTTGGATTCCGCGATGTAGATCCCGCGGGTGCGTTCATGATCTCATCTCGTGGTGGTCGACCAAAAAAGGGCGCGCCTGTGAAAAACAAGAACGACCGTTCAACGCTCTTGACGGTGGGAACTACTTCCGCAACCTCTATTCGATTCTACTGGAGCGCGACACCGGGGAAGTAGAGTTCGACAAATGGGTTTCGGGGGATACAGAACCACCCGCCTTGACATTACTCCATCTCGAAAAGTGGCTCCATATGACCAAGGCCAGCGTGGTGGTGTGGTCACATCGGGGCACTGGTGCCAATATTCTTGGACCATCCAACGGGAAAACGAACCTCCGACCGCCCACAGTACACGTTGGGGTGCGTGAGGGACACGTGTACCGGCTTGTGCTCGAGGGGCCTTGGAGAGACAGGTTTGGATCGTCTCTAGACGTGGCAATCGAGCACAGCGCACGAACTTACCGTAAGTTCCGTCGAATTCCTGATATGACCGAGGAGGAAGAGGAACCAGATACGACTGGTTTTGGCACCAAGACCTTCTCGTGTGTCGCTGACATTGTGAGTGATATCATGGTCATCAAACGGGGGGAGGGCACAACCGACAGCCGGTGGGGAAGCGGAAGCATGGGGGGAAAATATCAGAATTCAAGATGTGACACGCGCCTCCAGGAACGGCCCTCGGCGAGCTCATGCTCCACCTCCACCTCGCTGGGGTCTCTTGCAAGGGAAAACTCACAAACTACAGTTACTGGGATTCACTGTCCTTACCAGCGCACGGCGTAATCATCCGAACCTGGTGCAGCGCGAGCATGGGTGGGCTCGATTCCGATGACTTCGAGCCCGACCAGGCAACACGATTGATCGAGCTGCATAATGCCCTGGGTCTTAAGTTCTACCGCGGTGTATTGGATTTTCGAGTGTCGAGTCAGTACAGCCAGTCTCTTCCCGCCCTCCTTGAGGTATGCTGGCGGGGGCCGATCGTCGGAGCAGAGGACGCGTCCGGGAGTTCCTACGGGAGGGAAGACTGGCAATGCGACATCAATGGGGCACACACGGCGGCTCTGATGGACATGGAGACAGTGCCCGTTTTCGGCCACATGGATAAGGTGGAGGAGTTCGATGGCCAAGACATCGAGGATTGGACCCTGGTCATCATATATCTGGACGCGCTCGAAGAATCCGACGTAATCCTTAACGCGGACGTGACGCCCGTCTTCGGTCGAAAGTACAAGCGTTACCTCGACCTCATCGACACCGCGCCTCGCCATAGAGTCACCGACTTCGTGCGAACATCCAGAACGGTCAGTAGGTGACACATACCCAAACTTGTGAGAGACCTGCTCGCGCATGAGCTGGGTGATCCCCTCCTCGAGGATGCCGACTGTGCACGCCAATTCAAAAAAGGAATATTCGTGCGGGTCAGCGGTATGTTGCAGCAGCGATGCGCGGAGAGGATTGATGCCGTCATGGTTACGAGCAGTAACGAGGCTTTTCCGCCGGTCGTTTTCCCCTCTCTCTGCTTCGGTAGACTATACTCTATCTACTAAATTCGCGCCGCGTTTTTTTTTTTCACATCATCGAACTGCCTCCATATCAGTAGAATTCCCCCGTAGGGGTCGGCTCTGCTGTGTGTTCAGCGAGCACGAGACCACTGCACTTACACCTCACGCTCTCTTCGGTGTCTACTCCGCCACAACATCCAAGTCAAGATCGCATAGGAAGACTCACAGCAACAGCAAAAGGTTAGGCCGTGAAGGCCGATGCTGGATGACGGGATGCACACATTTCGTTTGAATTGGGCCTTCGATGCCGCGGTGCATCACCATGCTCGTGCGTTGTTGCCATCAGAAGCCAGACTGCCACTCAACCAACCGAACGTAGACGTCGATTCGGTGCCACTCATCGATGCACTTCTGCGGCCGGTTCATAGTTCATCCTCTCCGCCGTCTATTGGATGTGTTCCTGCTGTACTTGGCAGTGACTTCGATCTCATTCAGCGATCCCCATGCTTGCACACCTCCCGTATACGCTTACCATAGAAGAAGGTGTTGGTATGTCCTTACTTGGGAGGAGAAGACACGCTTTAACTCTCTCTGATTAGGCACCCGCGGGAGCGAGGAAAGGAAGGGAAGAAGTGGCCCTCCCGAAT